CTTTAGTTCGGTTTTCAAGAGAAGAAAGAAAGACCCGACGCTAGCCGGGCGACTCGAATGGTGTTATATTTCAAACAAATGAGCATAAATAAATCAAGACGAGTCGCTGCTCCCAATAAACGAAATTCAGTACAAAAACAAAGTAACGCGGCTGTGGGTCTTGACTCGAGCAGAGTTACCGAGAAGCACAGCTGTGTGGAGACCTGTCCATACCCCCTGTAGGGTCACCGCAAGGAAAAGGTTCATATGGAGTTAGCATCCAACTGGGTATGCTTTTGCAACGTGATATGTGATAGCAACTTCACATTCAACAGTAAAAAGCACTAATCAGGGATGATGATATTAAGGCTCACAGAAAGGACCATCGCTTACTATGGACAGCTACGAGGGTTATGAACACAGTTCAATACTGATTCACTAAACCTGCCTTACATTTAAAGCGGAAGGGCGAGAAATAGTCTACCACGGGAACGAAATCAAAACGATGTCATGAGAAAAGCTAGCTATAAAATACACTACCGTTCGGAATATTTCCATGAGTAGTTTCTCGTGGAACCACGCTTTAGAACGTTCCAGCTGACTGCTTCACGGATAAGCCCACCTGAGCTCATCTCATTCTCACTTTGCGCTAAACCACCCTGCACACTCAGTTAATACTACGTCCTATAGTGCAAGCAGAAGGGGTTATAGCTTCCCATGTGTAGACTTCAGTATCCCTTAACGGATAGAAAGTTAGTGGCAATTGATGCTTTTTATGCCAGTCAAAGATAAAAAGAGTCCACATGTGTGCCTTAAAAAACTTTTAGACACAACACCGCCACTGAGAATAGTACTCTCGAAATGAGTGTGTCTTTGGCTTATTCGCGGCGGACATGGCTCAGTATCAACAGCATACGATCCTATTCGAAATTCATTTATGAAGGAAGCTTTTGTTCCTCTTCCTAATGCATGAGTTCAGAGGAGAGAACAGAAAGTTTAAATAATCAAGAAGCCGGCGACTAATGTGCTGATAATAGATTGTTTCTCCATTCATGTAAAGCCCACTTTGCACACAGTCTCATCTAAACCTAGAAAAAGATCGAACGGGAATGAAGTGGAGTCCAATCTGAAATTCTTACAACCAAACGGTCACACGAAAACACTTGCTATAAAACCTATTTTCTGCACCTAATGCAATGTTCCCAATAATCTTGTATATGAATGAGAAGATAACGAAGGGAGGAAAGGTGTAGAGGCAAGTGGCGCAGTATCACACAAGCACGGTTCGGGTTCGAATCCCGGCTCAATATTCGCCTGGCCCAGGCCTTCCCTTCCTCCTGGACCCATTGGTTGGTACCAGACTTGTCTGGGAGTTTAAAAGCACTGACTTGTACTTTGGCTGGCCACCGCAAGTTATTGTGTAAGCCAAACGAGCACTCAAAATGCCACTATGATTCTGAATGGAAGTCGAATGCGGGAGCGCATCCCTTCCCATTCAAATAAAGTGATTAAGAACCACACGCTATTTGACAGGCTCATTTTTCTGTCCGTAGTGGACATAGAACGCCTACCAACTCGCTCTGAAAAAAGGTGTCTAAATGATGCTTCTAGAAAGTAGTACACGGCAACTATGGGCATTTGGGAGAAAATGGGAACCCTGTTCCAAACAACTCGATGACCATATGAATGGCAGGGAATCGTTCTATCCTGCACCATATCCAAATTAAAAGCTCTCTAATAAGGAGGAAAACCAGTTGTGGAGAAATTCGCGGCCCTAACAGTGAACTTTCGCGCCGCTCTCAAATTGACGAAGCATGAGGAAAAATAAGAACATTTATAGAAATCCATGTCGAAAAGGATTACGTGTTTTTTATTAGATGAACGACCATGAAGTGGAATAGATGAATTATTCCGCTAATATTCCGAAAATAAAAGTTAAAGTAAACTAAAAGTTTTGCATCAAAGTAGTTCCAACGCAAGCAGGGATCATAAGGTTATCGAAGGTTTACTCGCAGCAGTTGTCTGTGTTTCGTTACTGTTCGATTTTTTGGTTAGGGTAACAGGGAACAGAACAAAATATACGTAACCCCGATGTAGGCGTTTAATGCGTAGAGCGCGGCATTACGTATCTTCAAAAAGAGTATTATACCCCTCGTTATAATTTCTAAGCCTCAACCTGATCCTGATTCAGGCCTGTACTATTTCATTCAGGCGTGCTTTTCGACTTTCACTCGTCTCTATTTGGCAATCGCCCACGTGCACTCTCACCGGTTACCCAGAAATAAGGCCAAATGGAAAAAACGAAAATGTTCTTGCACAGATAACTTTATATCGAACTGCGTTGATCTAAACATTTGTTGAAAATCAAGGCAAAATTCAAACACCAGTCTAACCGATCTCCCGGAAAAAAGTCTATCTTTAACCCTGAAACATGGGTTTGACTGCATTGAATGAGTTGTCCACGATACAGCTCTAGGACCACACTACGGAGCGGGAGGTAGACGTTATGAACAGGTACCGTTTAATCCAGCCATTACATCTCAATCTGATGCCCGAGGCAGAATTTGGAATAACGGAGTTCTTCGCTTCTGCGAAATCGATACACTATTAGTAGTAGACCCATGAAGAATAAAAGCTGTGCTTGTACATCAAACGGCCAAGCCATTGTATAAGCAGAATACGTGATTACCACAATTCTCAGGAAAGTTTTTTATTTTTTTTNTTTTTTTTACATTATTTTAGCTGTTATATTCTGTCTAGTTATACTTAGGAGACGAAGCTTGAAACAGTAATGTCAGTATAGGATGAAAAAGTATAGCAAAGATCCAATGTTCCAGCGCACTAGCTATGTAACAGTAAATTACGATCTTACAAAATGAAGTACACGCGTCTAATTCTCTTCTACTCTCAAGGATGGGAATAATGATTAAACAAAAATGGATAATGGTAAACGAAGAAATGTCTCATGAGCATTTGCTCCTCTTCGAGAAAATAAGGAGGGCGGTGGAATGAAATGATTTCAACAACGACTAAAACCTGTTCAGACAAAAGAGCTAATACACCTCCAGCTCAACTCCTTCGCATGAAATATGGCACGTCTAATAAGAGGACACACCGGAGTTTCCGATTGCGCGCAGATGTGAGGGCCAGAGTGTGAGAGTCACTGCAAGGCGTGAGTATGAAGCTCAGATAGAGACGCAGAACACGGCAAGGAGAAGCCGGGGGTATGTTATGTTGACAGAGACAATCGAGTGGTGATCTAGTCCTCGACTTTCACAGTCAACAGAAAGCTTTTTGCGAAATGATGGGCCGAACAGTTGATCAGTTGCGATCATTCTTCAGTGAGTACATGTAGAATACTTGCAGCGTCGTGTGTTAATTGTGATTATGGGTCACGGTCTTGAACCATCACGACTGGATTCTTTGATAAAACTTGCTATGCAAATACTTGTTATGGGGCTCGTGAAGGGCAGTGCATCAAGGAATGAGGACTCATTCCTGTTCATTCCGAGAATATTCATTTAAATTGGCCAAAGTTCATGTAAAACTTATAACTTCTCATTGATTTTGAAAAAAAGCACTAATTAACCCAATACCCCAACTGTTTGCCGCTTTTTCTAGAACATACTGATGCCAGCATTCCTTCTTAGCTAGACTTTCTAAGACAGAAGCCTCGAATGGAATCCAATTATGAAATAGAAGTGAGTCATGGCGCAAGGGAGATAACGAAAGTTGAGGAGAACGAATTGATAGCGAAAAAATTACAGTGCCTTTCCCTTGGAGACATGAAGGTTCATAGAGAAATTCCTATGAAGCTTGAAGGAATAGTTGAAAATGAGAAGCGCAAGAAATAGATTCAAATGAAAACAATGGTCACTCACTATATGTGTCACATTATATGCGGATTCTAAAAAGCTTCCTAGTCAGAACTTAGCCTAAATCGCCACCATTAGCAATGAGCTGCAATCAACATTCAATTCACCTTCAGACTATATCGTGTCATTTAAGTGTACATCCCTGAGTCGTGGTTCATCATAAGAGAAGAGCGAAATAGACCAAAAGCATTCAGGCAAGATTGATTAGGTTGAAACCGAAGGGAAGAGCTCGAAGAAATTGAGCACCAAAAAATCGCTTTCAACGTTCCGAGGAAGAAAACTGACAAAAAAAAANAAAAAAAAAGAAATTAACTTCGAAGCGTGATCGGGAACACTATTTCATGACGAAAATTGTGGTATTGTGAAATAAGATGTTTTCATATGAAAAGAAGTTTGCACAAGATATCGTTTGCTACTGTTTGTACACATTTCTTGAGGAGTTGGAATGGCTGAGTGCAGCAGCTAAAATATAGTTCTCATTGAGAAATCGACCTCTCCACAAGAAACAAGAATCACTCTACTATCCCGAGCAGTTAGTCGGGACTAGAACCGTTCAAAAAATACTAGCATATAAATTAGCATTGACCGGTTTACGCAAAAATTAAAGGCACATTCAACTTCACTGAGAGTTCAGATGTAAACTGATTGCGTAAAAGTTGCCAGCAATGTCGCCTGAGGGATTTCGATGCCAATGTCCAGTTCCATTCAGAATCGTGATCCTATTGGATGTTGCTTTTACAATGAATTGGGGTGACCGGGCGATGTACAAGCCCGTGTTTTCATCTTCGCAAACAGATCTGGTATCAATCAATCGACCCCGGAAAGATGGAAGGCTTGGTTGGCATAGCCAGTTATTAATCCACGGTTCGAACCTAAAACCTTGCGTGTGTGATAGTGCGCCACCTGCCACTGAACCATCTCCGCCCGAAAACGTTATTACTGCACACTATTCCATTCTCCATCTATGGCATTGTAAATTTAGTAGACGAGCATTCTATGAAGATCATTTCTACTTGCAATAATTTCTGCTCAACACCCGCATTTCACTCTATGAACATCTTTACACAATCAACTGCATTTGCAAGAAAGAAGAACCCTTTCTGCTAAAAACAAGAGGTTTTGAACAGGACTGAATTCTTTCAAATCTCAAGATAAATCAAGGAACACCAGAAGTTTCAACTCACCAATGGAAATAAGGACGGGACCATCTTCGGGATAACTGCTACAAGACGCCATTTCAAGATCGTCATCACTCTGAACGTCCCGAATCCCCTCATCTTCGGAACAGTTATTAGAATTCGGAGGAACGTGACCGATATCATCGAAACACTCGCCTGGAACAAAAAAATAAAGTGAGAATCTCGGAATTGATTTATACACAAAATTAGTTCTGAGGATCGGATGAGATATCCCCAATGGCTCATAGCAACTCCCCACTGGCTCGCGAACAAAACCAATCGACCACAGAGCAGTCACTCAAACTTTTACAACGTACTTATCGTTTGACATTTGCTATTTCATATTCTTCCTCTCGAACATTGGAAACAACCTTCCCACTTACCTTTGATGGACGGTTCAAGATCGCGAATATTTAAGTAGTGTTGAGTGTAACTAACAAAGTGTAACGATCAAACAGACGCCAAGAAATTCATGATAATTTTTTAATGTGGTGAAAATGTAGTTGGAAGGGGGGGGGGGGGGGGGG